AGTCCCTTGCTGTTAGTGTGGCCAACTCATCTGCCCATTCATTCATTCACCTGTTTAGACCTGAACCTACCATCCCTGCTCTCACCTGGTTCTGCACTCTGACCTCAAAGCTGGACTCAACCCCACACCTTTGCCTTCAACCATGACTCTTGGGGCACCAGACACAACTTCTTCCCTGGGGCTGGTCTTGGGTTCAAAGACTCTACTTACACATCCATCATCCCACTGCTAAAATGTTTTGAACTCTGATTTTGCCTCTTGTAATTATTTTGTAGTCCACATATATGCAAATATATGGACAGACAGGCAGAATTTACTATGTGATGTAAGAGTTGATATTAGTTGTTAAGATTAGAATAATCAGAACCTAACTTGCCTCAGCCAGGTTACCAATAGAGAGGATTATCTGACAAATCACTGCCATTAAGACTGCTGCAGCTGGAGACTAGGTGGTTCAGAGCACTTGGTGCTCAAGAAAAAGATGGGTTGGGTTCTTGGCACCACCCAGGGGCTCATAGCTGCCAATTCCATGCAACCCAATGCTCTCTTCTATTTTTCATTGGCACTATGCACACACATGGTGCACATACATACATGCCGGTAAACATTCAAACACATAAAATACAAATAAAATCTTTTTTAGGAATTTGTTATTCAATACATTCTAACTGCAGAGAGACACGAATGTGTTTATCTGTTTCTGGCATAGCACTCCTACCATGTGGTTCTTCCTTGTTTTGTCTTTTTCATGTATCCCAGGCAAGCTTGCAACTCACTGTGTATCTGAGGGTGATCTTGAATTTCTGATCCTCCTGCCTCCAATGCCCAAACAATAGATATGTGCCACTACGCCATTCACATGGTGCAAAGGACCAAATCTAGAGCTTTGCACATGTTAGGCAAGCACTAAACCAACCACATTATACCCCCAGAAACTGTTTTCTTACAACTATGTTTGATGTGAATCAAGAAGTTTGTATTTATTGACATTTTACTCTTAGGATGGATTGATAATTTAATAAGTTTAAGCATCTAGATGACATACCCTAGTTTGTCCAGCAGACTTAGGAAGAAGTGTCCCTGGTCTTATTTTATCAGTGAAGACACAGGTACACAAACATTGAAAAGTCTCCATCTATAAGGACACAGGTATACCTAGGGAAAAGAAGCCATCTACAAGGTCAGGATGTTAGGATAAAGCTCAAGAGGGACTTTGCATTGGGGACCATGGTGGATTCCATGGCAGCTGAGGGTGACCAAGGTGGGAGACAAACATGCCAAGCAGACAGAGCTTAAGTGAGGAGTTTTATTAGAAAGAGGAGGGAGGGGAAAAGAAAGAGAAAAGAAATAAAGAGACACAGAGAGAGCTCCCCCTTGTTCAGGTCAGCCTAGGGCTCCATCTTATAGAAGCATTCCCTTAACTGAAGTTCCCTTCTCTGGCATGACTTAAGCTTGTGTCAAGTTGCCATAAAAGTATACAATACAAACAGTGAGAGTGCAGCCTTTTTACTTTATAAGGGAAAGTCGCATGCCCTCACCTACTTAGGGAGTTCTCAGGGAGATGTAGACCAGTCGTCACCTGAATGCTAACCAAATGTTCTACCACTGAACAATACCTCAATTCCCAAAGTCATCACCGGTCTTTCCTCTTGTCACTGGATAAATGAGAGTGGGATTCTGTCTGTGAAGCACCCACCCCTGGATATATTTGAGCTCTCACACATACAGTGGTGCAGAAAGGTCTCTGGCTGACAGGTTGCTTCATGTGTAAAGCAAATGAAACAGTCGGGAAAACCCTTGTTGTGCCACACCACTGAATGTGTCAGAAGGCTTGAAAGGGGCAAGGGGCCTGCCCTATCCTCCTTACCCTGTGAAGTTGAGAGAACCGAGTGCCACTCTTCTGTAAGGTAGAGTCATATGTCTGTGTGAGCGCACATGTACATTTAGTACAGGTTTACGTGTAGGGTCTTTCTCTATCCCACCAGCCAGCTACCAAATAACAACAGAGAGACTTCTTATTAATTATGAAAGCTCAGCCTATAGCTTAGCCTTCTTCCTAACTAACTTAAATTAACCCTTATTTTTATTGATCTATGGTCTACCACATAGCTTTTACCTCTATCCCATCTTGTACCTCCTTTTTCCTCTCTGTGGCTGGCTGTAGAGTCTGCCTCTCTTCTTCCCTGAGTCCTCTCTGTCCCCGGAAGTCCTTCCTAACCTCCTCTTAGCTATTAGCCATTCAGCTTTTTATTATACCAATCACAGCAATACATTTTCACACAGTGTACAAATATCTCACCACATGTATGTACAGCTGTATGTAGTGCATGTCACACATCTATGTGCACCTGTGTTCACATGTTCTTCTACCACACACATAGACGGGTGTTTGATGGCACGGGAGTATGTGAAAAGCAGTTTGAACCTCATGAAATACTAAGCCTTCATCCACCTGAGGCCTCGATGTCATCTGACATTTGGGGGTATTGAAAATTGGGAGAGGTTGAAGCAGGATCCGTCATAGACCTTGCAAGTCACAATTTCTTGGCCAATATTAGTTACTACTTTTAACAGTTGGTCTACAAAGTTGCACCTAGTAACTGGAAAATACTTGATGAAAACAGGTACCCCTGTGATGCTTGCTGACTCTACAGGGCTTATTTTAAAAGCACAGTTGGAAGCCAGGGTTGTGACAAGTCGGGTAGCATCTCATTAGCTATTACCTACATCTGCCACAGGCTTGTTTATGGTAAGTGTATAACTATGTATAAAAATGATAAAAACAGGAGCTCATGTGTGCAAATTCTAATGTGAAAAACAGAACTGTCCTGGTGCTCCAGAGAGGTTCCAGAACCTCCCAAGTGTAGCCCACCTTCTCTACCAAGGAGATTCCCAGAGATGCTTTTCCCATCTCTGCTGAGGTGTCTTGCCTCTAGTTTTGTTTTTTTTAATGTATATAACAAAGGAAATTCTTTATTGTAAACAGGGTATAAAGTACAACAAACAATATTGTGCAAATTGGAACTCATGATTCTTTATAATTTTTTTTAAGAAAAATCTTTTTTAAAGGGTTCTAGTTTGCATGTCAGAAACCTACACCCAAGGTACAGAAACAGTTTAAATGTAAGGTATAGTGACAGTTTTTCACTATATATTTTGGACAATTTACCTTTACTACCGAGTGTAACACATTTAAGTCTCAATGAGTGTCCAAACCCTGTGGTGAAGAACATAACTGTGTCATGAACATTGTTTTCAAGTTGAAAGTGAATGTTCTAGTAACAATTTTCTACCTATCTATTCACACACCCTGAAAAACTCCTATAAATAGAGAGAAAACTGTTGTCTGTGATGGTCATTAACTTCCTAGTTTGAAAAAGCACAGTGTGTCTTTGGCAGAGCATCCTTTACTGATGACATAAAGCCATCTTTCTCAAGGAGTTATCTCAAATTGTCTCTAGTTTTTAACCTCATGATGTAGTACCATTTGATGTGCCTGTTTCTGACATTTGGTTTCATTGTCTGAGGTCATTTTACATTACCTGCATGGTCTGCATTCACTTAAGGGCATCAAACTGTACACATCTGCTCTTGGCCACATGGGTGGTTACCAACTGCCCCCAGCATTGCTGTGGAGGACATTGCTACCATGGACATTCTTCTCTGAGCCATGTAAGCTTTTTCCAAGCAGTGAAGGCAGCAGGCTCAGGACAAGAGGTGGATTACCAAATCAGACATGTTTGCACAGGTTAAATTTAGTTAATTCTAGAATTTGTGGCAAAGATACACACCATCATTCTCTTTGCTTCTGGTGGGTGACATTGTTATTACTGTTACAGGATTGGGCAGCACAGAAAGGGGCATAGGAAGTAATGGGCTTCCTCATCATGGAGACATGGGAACAAATGCCATGATTTCAGGGGTAAACTCTGGAGTGTCACTGGTAATGTTTTACATTTCTACTTGCAAAATGATTAGTTGTGGTTTGGTGTCAAAGGATGCCATTCTGAGCCCATCCCCAAAGGATGCCCTGAGGCAGAGCAGGACCCTGAGGTTCTAAATGGGAGGAATTGGTCCATCAAGGACAAACCCAGCCACATTCCTGATTCTGCGTAACTTGCTGAGGAAAGATGCCCGGTGGAGGTCATTTCTCCTGCAGGAAGGTCTCCTTATTGTCAACACTGGGAAAGGGATGTGGGGTGCAGGAGACTGAGGCTAGGTGGTAGGAAGAGGCCCCAACAGACAAAGTCAGTGACCAGTGTGACAGAGATGAAAATTAGGAGCCAGTGTGTGAGAGAGGGGCTTAAAAATTTGGTGGCATGTGGAGAAACAGTAAGTAGATCCACGAGCTCAACTGTGACAGTGGAAGCATCTCAGTGCTCGCCAGATGCAAATGGCATGCTGTTGAGCTGCCTTTCTTGCAAGCCAGGACCTGAACTGATCTGAATAGCTGCAGGAACACCATTGCCCACCAAGGTGCAGCAAGCCTTTTAATTTCTGGTCAGAAAGCTTGCACTACCTAGATTGGACAGCAGAGGGCAGTACAGTACCGCCTGGGTCCACCCTGAGCTTGGCCATCAACAAGTGGGAATGGGGGGAAAGTCACAAAAGTGCTGTCAAGTCCCACAAGAAAGTGCAGTTCAGGTTCTGGGATGGCTCTCCTGTGCCCCTCTACCTGACAACAGGCTCCTGCCAGTCTTGAATCCTATCTGCAGCTGTCAAGGGATACTGTACAGAAATTTTAAAGTACATAGGAAAATCTGTTTTGTGGCACAATTGGGAAATTTCTTACTTTAGTGACATGAAATCTGACATCCTTTGAAATAAAACTATGGAAGTTTCCATTTGCTTAGAATGGTCCTGAATAGTGTGAAATGCAGCCCAATTCCATTTGTTCTTAGGTAAAGTAGACGCCAAGCCACACAATGGGATATGAAAAATAGATTTATTGGTCAGGAGTTAAAGAGGTTTGTCCTGAGTGGTGAGCAAGGTGTAGAGGTTCAGGCTTTCCCCAGGCTTTTCTTGATGAAGTGGCCCACCAGCCGCTGAGGTCTCTGCTGGTATTCCACCAGCACATCATGGGGGGTGTTGATCTGGTCCCCTTGCAGTCTGTCCAGAAGGGTGACACACACCACAGCCGCTGCAAAGAAAAAGGTCTCATCAAGGCAGGGCCAGACACCTTCCTTTGTCACCAAGGAGGAAGGCCAGGGCCAGGGAGCTCAGTGTGCAGGCCAGGGACACCTAGTCCCTTTGCCTTTGTTGCCAAAAGAAATTCCAGCAAGTTCCAGGGCCAGCTCCTGGCTGTCCCGTGCAGCCCTGCAGGATACATGTTGTCCCAGACCATGAGGCATAGATAGTTTTGAGAGGTGATGTTTGACTGGAAGGATGCTCAGGTCTAGACAATAAAGTAGATTAGCCCCAAAGAAAGGAAAACAGTACTGAAAGCCGCGCTCTTGGCAAGGCTGCGGCAGCCCTATCTGAGCTGGATAGGTCACAGCCATCTTTGTTACCCTTCTCAGTGGTAAGGGAAATCCCTGCAAGAACACTGGGGACCCTGTGTTTTGCTATGTGACAATCAAGACATTGTACATGTCCCGGGGCTGCAGGGATGACACCTTGGTGGTCAAAAGCTGACCAAGGGGGACACAAGTGAGAAAACAAGCCTGAGGCACGATCAGGAGGCCCCCTCTATGATAGGCTAGCAAGTAAGACAGAGAAAGGACACCAAGGCCATCATGTGTCTTCCTACCTCTTAGGCCACAGGCACTGCACATGGTGGCAAACAATGACGATTCCATCTCAATATTTCGAACACCTGCGGCATGGGCTGCTTGCAGATAGGCCTGTTTGTCCTTCTCTGTGTAGGAGCATAGGGCACCATCCAGACGGCCTTGTCCTGCAGTACACGAAGACAGAAGATCCACAGGCACATAGTCAGAGCCTACCACACTTGGGCACCATGCTACACACATGGATGCAACTAACAATCTAAGCAATGGTTGAGAGGCTGCCTTAAATGCCCTTCCCCAATATGACACTGATGACTACCATATATGCCATCCTAGAGCCTTCATCCAGTAGCTGATGGAAGCAAAAGCAGATACCCACAGCTAAACACCAAGCTGAACCCTAGAACCCAGTTGCAGAGTGGGAGGAGTGATGAGCCAAGGGGTCAAAACCAGGCTGGAGAAACCCACAGAAACAGCTGACCTGAACAAGGGGGAGCTCATGAAGCCCAGACTGATAGCTGGGAAACCAGCATAGAACTGTTCCAGACCCCCTGAAAGAGGATGTCAGTTTGGAGGTCTGGGCAATCTATGGGACCTCTGGTAGTAGATCAGTACTTATCCCTAGTATAGGAATGGACTTTGGGAGCCCACTCCACATAGAGGGATACTCTCAGTCTAGACACACGGGGAGGGTCTAGGCCCTGCTCCAAATGATATGACAGACTTTGAAGATCCCCCATGGAAGGCCCCCGTCCCTAGGGCGCAGAAAAGGCATGGGATAGGTGGTCTGTCAGGGGGAGGGCAGGAGGGGAGGGAGAGGGAACTGGGATTGACATGTAAAACAAGCTTATTTCTAATTTAAATTTTTTAAAAAAGGAAAAAAAAGAAGACACAGGGATGAGGGGACCCGCCTGCCTGTCTTCAAGGAGTGGATTGCTGCTCAGATCACTGTTACAGCCATCACAGAAATACTTTGACAGGGTTAGCAGGCCACATCAGGTGCCCTAGGGATAGCACCACACCATCACAAAGAGGCCTGGGTGGGCAAGGGATCCCTGGGCCAAACATGCACTCACTTCCTCTTACCCTCATAGAAGTCCAAGGTGCACATGGTGTTGCCCACAACAGTGGGGAACTCATTCAGGTCTGAGGAGCACTGCATCAGCTCCTGTACCAGCTTCACGTCCAGGTTGGTGCTGCGAACCACCCGCTTTCCCAGGACAATCTGCTCGAACTCTGGCTTGAAGCACTCGTCCACGGCCTGCTGGGTGATGACCACAGAGCCAGGCTCCAGACCTGAGGAAGATGCAGGCATCATGGTTACACGGGTGAGAGCAGCACAGCAGAGAACAGGCACCTCAAACACAATCGGTTGTCACAGTGGCATACAGAAGCATCCAGGCGCATGCTCAAAGCCATCCATCCCTTTTCCTAGTCAGAGCTCTTCCTGACAGGGAATTTGCACAGAACCATCGCTGAAAGCAAGGAAAAGCAGAGAACAGCAACCTTGCCAGGAGTCTCTCCATCCTTTGTCTTCCAGGCATTGTCACTGACTAGCACTCCACCAACTAGGAGGGTGACCAGGAAGATGGTTTAATCATTCCAGATATCTTTATTTTGTACATTTTCAACCAGATACAAAAACAGACAAAAGTATAGAAAAGCCACGTGTGCCTCAAAAACAGCCTCAGTCCTTTGCAACTCCTGACTAGCCTGCTTTCCTCTGCAACCAGCAACAACTGTCTGTGCAGTGTGGGCGTTCGGGGTGTGCCCTCCTGGAGTAGCTGCATGCTTCAAAGGACAAAACTCTACTCTTGTTTTTCTGTCAGGTTTATGCTTTCATATACCATGTGACCACTGCTAGGAGAGTTTGAAATCCTACATTCCAAGAACAGTGTACTTAGACGGGGATGCCTAAAT